GAGCGATACAACATTGGTTACCGCATACCTGCGCTGAAGATTCGTTGTGCAGTCCAAGAGGAAGTAGTGGCCATAGCCGCGGAGCTCGGAACACGGAGAAGAAAGAGAAGTGAAGCATAGACGAAGGAGGAGACATAGACGAGGAAGGAAGAAGGAGGGATAACGAAGGTGAAGACAGACATAGCCGAGGGTGAAAAAAAAAAAAGAGAAGAAAAATAGTGAGAAAGAAGAAGGGTGAAGGAGGAGGAAGAGAAGGGAGATTGGCGAGGAAGAAGGTGCCGACAGCCATAGCCGACCAGAGGGTTGACCGGGCTTTGACCAGAGGGTTGCCCGGACTTTGACCAGAGGGTTGACCGAAGTGTTGACCGGGGTCTGACGACGTTGACCAGAGCGTTGACCAAGGCGTTGACCGGAGCTGCTGACCACGACTTTGACCAAGCTGGAGTTGGTATAATCTCGCCAAGCCCTCAGCCTATCCACTCGCCCTATGGATGTGCACTCACCCCATGGTACTTGCTGAGTCTGAGTCTGTCTGTCTCTTCTTTCTTCATTGAGTCTCTTCTGTCTAGGTGATAGGACTCCGTGTATGAAGGATAGGGCCTCGTTGACCAAACCCCTGCCAGGCTGAGTAGGGCTAAAAGTTGTGTCTGACGACTCGACTGTCCCGGAGGACACGAACCCTCCCAAGGACCGGTACTCACCGGCGGGCTGCTCGGTGTGGCACGGTAGGCCCGAAATCTGAGTTGTGGGCTGCACAACGGGCCGTCTAAGTCTTGAGAGAACCTGCTGATCGCGTCGTCCTGTCTGCGACGTTAAAGAATTCATGAGGAGTTACGGGGGATCTCCTTAAATGCCTCCTGATTAGGAACAGGTTTTGTAGTGACAACTGTAGTTTAGAGTCTAGGCTAGTGCCCCTAGTTGACAGGGTCTGAACTGGAGTGAAAGCCAGGTGTTGGGCATCTGGGTCTGGATTGCAAGGACTGTGGTTGCCAAAGCTTCCGTCGGCCGTGGTAATCTGGCTGGAACGAAGGAGAGGACTCTGTGGTCCATAGAGAGTCGATTTTAAATTAAGTCAGTCAGGGGGAGAGTCTAAGTGGCGAGGAGTGGAACCGTTACTTGGTTGTGCATCCATCACCATGGTTGACACGCGTACCGGAAAGAGCACCTCCCCGTATACAGCAGAAGAGGAGGCAAAGGCCGCCGCCATCCTCAAAGAGAGAAGAGAGAAGAAGAAGGCCAAGAAGAAGGCCCTGATGGAGGAGCAGGCGGCGAAGATGAAGAAGATTGAGGAGGAGATGGCCAGAGAGAAAGAGAGGTTGAAGAAAGAAGAAGAGGAGAAGTTAAAAGCGGTAAAAGAGGAGGAAGAGATAGAAGAAGCGCCACTGGAAAGGAGAAGAAGGGAACAAAGAGGGGAATCCAGTGGAACAAGAGATGACCAATTGGCGAAGAAGATCAAAGAGTGGGTTGCAAATTTATCCCTGGGAGAAGAAGAAGAAGCGTTAGTGTATGTACCCAGGGAAGAGCAGGAGGCGGCCGTGAAGGAGTGGGAGGCAGAAGAAGACCCCCTCAAGCGGCAGGCCTTGGAGGATGAGACGAGGATGGAGTGGAAGCTACGGCTCATGAGGGAGAGAAAAAGGAGAATGGAGGCAGTGAGTCAGGCAGCAAAGGAGTTGGAGGAGGTAAGGAAGCAGAGAGACCAGATGACGACAGGTGGATCTCCTGGGGAAGGTGGAAATCATGGCAAGGAACATCGAGCGCCTGACACAGGCCCAGGAAGAGCAATATCAGTTTATTAGAAGTCAGCACATTGCCCTGCGCTCGATACGGCTGGGATTCCGGGAGTGCGCAAGGGAATTAGTGATGCAGGTGGGCTCAGAAGTGAAGGCCCGCCTGGAGAGCACGGAGCGTTATTGCACTGGCGCCATAGAGGGCGCCAGGCTGGCCGCACCAAAGGGGGAAGAAGCACGCCCTCGTAGAGAGCCTGTTAAAGTCAAGTTCCCCGATTCCTACAGCGGGAAGAAGGAGGAGAACTTCAACAATTGGGAGGCCAACGTTAAAACGTATGTGCGCTTACAGAACGTAGCTCCCGATGAACATGTCCTGATAGCCATTCATGCTCTTAGGGAGGAAGCAGCAAGCTTCGCCCGTTCCCTGTGTCGCGCCACCAACTGTAATGATGATTTGGTGGCCTACTCCGCGTTCACTCCCCTCGGTGACTTCCTTAAGTTGCTGAGAGAACGGTTTGCAGACGTCACCCATAGTGTCAAAGCTTCAGACAAGCTGCAAACCATCCATTCTCGTCAATGGAGGAGTGCGAGGGCACTCAAGGGCGTTATGGACGAGTTGGTCGCCGTTCCTGACCATGGGGTCACTGAGACCCAGCTGGTCAACCTCTTTTACCGCGCTATGCTCGAGCAGTTACGCGGGGATTTCTTTGAAAAGAGCCAGCAACCTACCATGACCTACGATGCACTCAGCAGGGAAGTGGTAGCGTTCGAAGCACGGTCTGCGCCAGTTTCCACTTTTTGGCACAAGGGCCTGGATAAGGGCAAAAAGTGGAAGGGTCGCACTATCTCGGGGCAGATCAAGACCAAGGATCGTCTGCTCCTTACGTTAGATGAGGGTAGTGTGGAGGAAGTCCCCTACGAGCAGATTGAGTGGGGGCTGGAGGAGGAGGACAGTAGTGACAGTCAGGGGAGGACTTACGCAGCTGTCGCGACCGGAGGGAGGCCGCAAGGTAGAGGAGGAGGCCAAGGCCAAGGGGGCCGGGCCTCAGGTGGCCGTTTCCAGGGCGATTAGGGGGTTGGCGGTAGAGGAGGAAACCGCCAAGCGGGAGGAAGGGGTCAAGGTCCCCCGCAAAACCGTTCTGGTAACCGTTCACCTAATAGGGGAAATAGGTCACCCTATAGGAGAGGTGGTTGGCACCCAGGTCTGCCACAAGGCCGACCTTGGGAGGATTTGGGCTTGGACCAGCGCGTCTGGCAGCAACGTGTGGATAAGGGGCAGTGTGTATTTTGCGGTGCCCCTGGCCACATCATTCGATTTTGTCCAAAGTATAGAGAGGCCCGATGGGCTGCCCAGCAGGCAAAAGGCAGCCGCCGGTAGGGGTTGCAACTGCCCCTACCATAAGGCCATGTGGGGAAACGAGCGCGAGCCGGCAAGAAACTCCCACACCACGTGAGCCTATGGCAGAGGTTGCAGGCCGGTGCCTAGACAACTGTCCAGAGACTGCTTGCGTTAGAGTCTCTTTAGGCACCTCCCTCACAGGCGTGGCTGATGAGCTAAAGGAGAGAATGCCTGCCTGGGCCAAGATGAAGAATGATAGTAAAGGACAACTAGTTTTAGTAGACGTAGAAGTTTTTAGAAGTAGAGTAGGAGCCCTTATAGATTCAGGGGCTACTCGCAGTTATATTAGCCGTAGAGCGTTGAAAAAGCTTAGGCTAGGGTTGAAAGTCCAGAAATTGGAAGACCCCATAATTAGTGTCCTCGCGGACAACCGCACTATGCGAGTTGAGGAGTACGTAGAGGGAGTCCAAGCGTATTTCCGCCTAGAGAAAGATGGGAAGGTGGAGAAAATTCTCCATTCCCTGACTCTCCTCGTACAGGACGACCTTCCTTTCGATATAGTCCTGGGTATGGATTGGGGAGAGGCAGCAAGGGCCACACTCCACCTAAGAGAGCATGAGTGTAGGCTCCCTAGTCCGACAGGCGAGATTAAGACTGCCTGTATGTTCCATGCGTCAGGTGTAGACAATACCCTGGCACATTGCTGTCTCAGTGCTCCTGCGTTCGCGCGACTAGTGAAAAAGGAGAAATTAGAAGAGCAGGTCTTCGTAGTTTACGTAAGGCCTTGTCACTGAGCCTAAAGAGGAGAAGCCTATCGACCCAGTTATTGCCAAGCTGCTGGAAGAATTCAAGGAGTTAGCAAAGCTGCCGACAGGAGTAGTACTGCGGCCAATCCAGCATCGTATAGAGATAGAGCCTGGCAGCAGGACTCCCAACGGAGCAGTGTACAGGATGTCCCCACTGGAGTTGGAGGAGTTGCACAAGCAACTAGATGAGCTTCTAGAGAAGGGTTGGATTAGGCCCAGTTCATCTCCTTTCGGAGCACCCGTTTTGTTTATCCCCAAAAAGAAGGGAGAGCTTAGAATGTGTATTGACTATAGGGGTCTTAATGCTATTACAGTGAAGAATGCAGAGCCACTGCCCTGTATAGATGATCTTCTGGATCGGGTGCAGGGATGCGAGTATTTCTCGAAGATAGACCTAAAGTCTGGATATCACCAGATAGAGGTCCATCCCGATGATCAGTACAAGACCGCATTCCGGACTAGGTATGGGCACTATGAGTTTATAGTCATGCCCTTTGGACTAACCAACGCGCCGACGACTTTCCAACGCTGTATGAACGACTTGTTTAGGCCTTGGTTAGATAGATTCGTTGTAGTTTACTTAGATGACATTTTAGTTTTTAGTAAGACCATCCAAGAGCACCAGGGTCATTTGAGATAGGTCTTGGAGAAGCTAAGAGAAGCTAACTTCAAGATCAACGCCAAGAAGTGTGAATGGGCAAAGACCCAAGTTTTGTATCTAGGCCACGTCTTAGACGGAGACGGCATCAAGCCAGAAGATAGTAAAATCGCAGCGATTCGAGATTGGCCTACGCCCTGCACGTTGACAGAGTTGCGGTCGTTCCTAGGCCTAGCGAACTACTAAAGGAAGTCTGTGAGAAACTTCTCTACCATCGCTGCACCCCTTCGCAGATTGCTGAAGAAAGAAACAATTTGGAAGTGGGATAAGGACTGCACGTCTGCCATGAAAAAGTTGAAGCAGGAGCCAATCCGTCCTTACCTTTCGTCATCACTACTGACGCGAGCCAGTACGGTATAGGTGTTGTGCTACAGCAAGACGATGGTAATGGGTACAGGCCCGTAGAGTTCATGTCTGCCAGAATGCCTTTAGAAAAGGTAGCAACATCCACCTACGAAAGAGAACTATATGCTCTCAGGCAAGCACTAGAGCACTGGAAGCATTACTTGCTTGGGAGGCACTTCAAAGTGTATTCAGACCACGAGACTCTAAGGTGGCTGAAGACACAGGCCAAAATGACACCTAAGTTGACTAGGTGGGCCGCAGAGATAGACCAGTACGACTTTGATCTCAAGCCAATTAAGGGCAAGTATAATGTAGTTGTGGATGGTCTAAGTAGGAGATCAGACTACTTTGGAGCGATAGTCCATTATCTGGATATAGGGAAAGACCTGCAACAAAAAGTTAGAGAGACGTATGCGCAGGACCCTATCTATAGTGACTTCCTCAAGAGAGTCAAGGAGGCCCCAGAGAGCGAACCCGATTACCGCACTACAGAGGGGTTGCTATTTGAGAAGACTAACGTAGCAGACCGCTTGTGTGTTCCCAACAGTGAGGAGATTCGTAGTTTGATCCTAGGGGAATGTCACGATTCAGAGGGACATTTTGGTTGGCAAAAAACTTTAGCCAATCTGATGCGCGCGTATACCTGGCCAGGGATGAAGAATGACTGCATAGATTATGTTCGCAGTTGTAAGGTATGTCAGAGGAATAAGACTACTACGCGTGCCCCTCTAGGTCTTCTCAGACCCTTGCCTATTCCTGACCAGCTAGGAGATTCAGTATCCATTGACTTTATGGATGCTGGCGTCAAGAGTAGGCACGGTAGGAGCCAAGTCATGGTCGTAGTCGATAGATTTAGCAAATATGTTGTTTTTATTCCTTTGCCTTCTGAGGCACGTACATAATTAGTGATTCGAAAGTTTTTTGATCATTGGGTCAGTGAGCACGGGGTCCCATTATCCATAGTTAGTGATAGAGACACCCGGTTCACTAGTCAGAACTGGCATGAGTTAATGAGAGTCTATGGCTCCAAGTTCTTAATGTCATCTGGCCGTCATCTAGAGACCAACGGCCAGACTGAACATATGAATAAGATCCTACAACAAGTTTTGCGTATGTACATTAGACCTGATCAAATCAACTGGGACGAGATGCTTCCTAAGGTAGCCAGCGCCTACAACAACAGTGTGCACTTGTCTACCTGTCGCACTCCCAACGAGCTGCACAAGTCCTTTAGACCACTCAGACCGTTTGAGGGACTTAATCGGGATCAGATTCATAGGCTACCGCCCGGTACTAGGGAGTTTGCACTACAGCACGAGAAGGAGTTGGCTACCGTTGTAGAAAACCTCAGGAAGGCCCAGCATAGGATGATAGAGCAAGCCAATAAGCATCGTCGCCCGTCACAGTTTCAAGTAGGCGACTTAGTCTGGGTCAAGTCTAAGGAGTTTGCTCCTGAGGAGAATATCTCGCAAAAGCTATTGCCTGCGTATAGAGGACCGTGGCCAGTTCTAGAAGTTAAGGGCGGAGAGGATGGGCCGTCCTATACAGTAGAGATCCCAGCGCACCTCCACACCTACCCCGTATTTCACGCATCAAAGTTATTGTCGTGTGTCACAAGTCAACAGTTTCCCTCCAGAAGATCCATGATTCCTCCGGATATGGATGGAAGATACGACATTGACGGCATTGTAGGTGAAGATATATTCAGGACAGGAGGTAGAGGTCGTCCTCAGAAACAGTACAAGGTCCGATTCGCCTATCAGGAACCGGAAGACGACCGATGGTTCACTAGAACGGAACTTCTAGAAACAGCTTCCGACATAGTTAGAGCCTACGAGAGAGATCAGAAAGGTAAAGGTCCTGCCTTAGACTGAGTTATTCTCGGAGGACCTCGAATTTAGGCCGGCGGGAGTGAAACGGTTTTCACCTTTGCAGAGGCAGATGCAGATCCCAGGGTTCGATCCCCAGACCTTACCTTACCCATGTACAGTACCGGGTTGACCCCTGTGCGTTTGAACACGTGACCTGTGTATTCGCAAACAGTTGGTAGGCTGTTTTAGGTCCGTAGGTTGTAGGGGATTCGATTTGTAGACCTGTCGGATAGGAGTCCTAGTGAGTTCTAGAAGTCGTAGTTGTAGCTCCTCTGAAGGGTCAAGGTCGTAGCTGCTACAGTCCTGAAATGTCAAGGTCGTAGCTGCTACAGTACTGAAAGGCCAAGTCCACGGTCCTCCGGAAGGTCCGGAAGTGGCCTTTTGAGTTTCCCCTCACATTTTACACAGAAGGCCAGAGGCAAGTGGGCAAGTGGTGCGTCCAACTTCGCTTAGTCAGCGGTACCCAGTCCCAGTCTCACTTTGCACAGTCAGCAAGTACCAAGGGGGGACTGTGTGCACCATGGGCCTGGTGGAAAGAGGCAGACCAACGAGTTACAGAAGTATAAATCAAGAGGCAGCGCACAGCCATTCATTCATTCCTGCGGAAGCCATGCGGAAGCACTGCCACAGTGACTTGTGCGAGGTGGTCTGCAGAGGAGCCTGAAGTCGAAGTGGGCTGAAGGGAGCTAGCGCAGCCATAGCTGCTGTAGTGAGTGTAGCTGTCGGCCATAGCTGCCATAGTTAGTATAGGTGTGTGTGCGTGAGTGTGCAGAGTGATGCGTGTGGGGTATCCAGGGTGATCCTAGTTGAGCGTGTGTGTACAGCAAAGTGAGGTGCAGTGACAAACAGGGTGTTGTACAGGCGCTGTTGCGCCATAGCCATTTGAATCGAGGGTTGAACTGTGTCCGTGGTTACCATATCTCTGAGCTTTGAGTAGGCGCATGTTGCCAGTTTGCTGTATTGCCTATTTACATGCACACAAAGTGTGAATGGTTGCGAGTCTGATTGCAGATACAAGTACCCTGTTTTCTTCCCCCTTTGCTGCAGAAGGTTGCTGTGTCCCTTTGGTCTGCAATCAACAACTTGTATGCCACAGCTGCTTGGTCCGTTTGTTTGTGTTAGCAGCTGATGCCTTATCTGGTAGTGCACCAGGCAAAGAAACATGGGTCTGGGGACGCTGCTGATGGAGCAATGCTGCTGGGAGCCAACCTGATATGCAGATTGAGTGTCTGGAAGCTGGATGTTTGGTTTTCTCTGTCACTGCCAATCAACCTTCACGTGCATGCACATTTCACATTTTTGTAGCTCTTCCTTTTCACCATCAGTGCATTTGGTGGTTTAACACTCATTCACATGACACCCAAACCACCCAAACCCACCCAAAACCCTCAAAAGTTTTTGGGGGATCGTGCGGTCAGCCGCGTGCAGGGGGCATGCTAATCTTCCCTACATGTTCCTATTTGAATGGATGTCCCAAAGGACAGGAGGTGGGCAACCTAACAGTTCCTTGGAAGCAGCGTAGGTATTCTGGGTAGGAGCTGCTGGGAAACATCAGTCGTGGATATCTTGGAGGCAGTCAGGCTCTAGACGAACTTGGAGTCCAGCAGTAGCCTTACAATAGGACAGAGTAGAGGCCATAGCACTGGCCGTACAGAGGGGCAGTGTAGAGTCTATAGCAGCGGCGTTACAGTTGGGTAGAGGAGATTCTACAGCTGGCGTCTTATAGCTGGAGCCAATCATAGCTGGTGAGTGTGGCTATAGGCGGCTTCTCATAGCTGTAGAGGATGGCTATAGCTCAAGCTGGCTTCTCATAGCAGGAGCAATATCAGGCTAGAGTGTGGCTATAGCTGGCTTTTTGAAGATCCAGTGTTACATCTTCGACGCCACACGGCCCCTACCGGACCCGACTTAGGGCCAGAGGGACACAGTAGGGCCTAAAGGCCCGACCTTGGGGTACTGCAGGCCGTAAAGGCCTCATTTTGGACCAGACCCGACGGGCAGGCGCCAAACGACGTTACCGTTTGGGCCTGGCGGCGCTCTTGAGGCTGCTGCCCGCCGGTTGGGGCTGAACCGTCAATCTTGACGGTTCAGGGCACGGCCAGGTCTCGCAGCATAGAGGCCGGCCTCTGCCCCACCGGTACAAAAGTACCGGTCCAGCCTCACTTCGGGATCGAACCACCGGCACTCTAGCGGTGTGTTATGGTATAGCGCCAGAGCGCTAGCGCTATTCTTAGCGCAGGAGCACGAGGAGCAGCGGCGGCAGCGGTATCGCAGCAGCGGCAGCGAGCGGAGCAGCAGCAGCGGCGACTGAGCAGATCGGCGGCCATAGCCGCCTGAGGTATCGGGAGCCGGGGGTTCTCTCCTCCCTCCCGTCGCCAGTCCCCTCTCTCTCTCTCTCCTCCTCGACTCTCTTCTTCTTCTTCTTCTCCTTCCTCAGACTTCCTCTTCTTCTTCTTCAGATTGGAGACTTCATACTAGTTGGACAGAGATCAGTATTGGACTTCGGTGGTAAGAGGCTGTGGTACTTATCGGATTCGAGACTTGGAGATTGTTGGGGTTGATACTCGGCGGCATCACAGTTCGGACACCGTTTACATTAGGACTCTGTATCTCCGACATTGGTGACTTATTGTCCTCGACATTTTGATCTTGTTTGATGACATTTTGGACTACCATATCGGTGACCTATCGGATTCTATCTCGGTGACCTTCGGTGCTGTCTACCTCCCCCACCTCCTTCGTCTCTTCGGTGACCTATCGGATTCTATCTCGGTGACCTTCGGTGCTGTCTACCTCCCCCACCTCCTTCGTCTCTCCTCCCACCTTTCATCTGTGATGTGTGTACGGGGCCATGGCTCAGACCCCATCATCTCACGATTGTATGTGTGTGGAGTGATATCTGTGTGAGTCAGTCTATGTGAGTCAGTCCGTTATCAGACTTCCGCTGCATACATGCTCATCCTATATTGGTTGATCTTTGGTTCTGCCCCATACTCGTGGATACTTTCACGAGTATGTAACAGTTTTGGTATCGGAGCAGACCATTTCACGGATCTGCTCACCAGGTAAGTCTGATTAGGAATTAGATTGCTTCTTCAATCTTCCAAATCAGCTCTCTATTACTATCGAATTTCAAAGTTGCAAATTTTTTCTTTTTTTCGGTATTCTGTTTATTTCGGCTTTTCCGTTTCAATTCGGTATTCGGACTTGTAATTCGGATTTCTGTTTTATTCCGGTATGCTGTTTAATTTGGGTTCCGATAAATTGATACTAATCCGACATTCTGTTTAATTCGGATTTCTGATTATTAATTCGTGATTAGGTTTAAATCAGTACTCTGTTTAATTCGGCATTCTGATTTCAATTCGGTTTCCGTTTTTATAATCCAGCATTCTGATTTTAATCCTGTATTTCGTTTTCTAAATCGGCAATTCCGTTTTATTGCAGTATGGGAAATTAGGGTTACGATTTTTTTTTGGTTTTCGATCAACTTGGGAAATTCGAACGTTTTGGAACCGTAAATCCGGAAATTCAGCGGAATCGCGGAAAATTAGGGTTGGACTCCGAAATTTTCGCGAAATCTTTTTTCTCTCCCTTGTTTGAGAAATTCCGAAAACGGACTTAGGCCTTTAAAAATCGGATTTTGCCGGTGGAAATTCCCGAAATTTCACGGTTTTGAAAATTCGAGTGTTTTTCTCCTGATTTTTCCGAAATTTTTTTTGGCAAACTAATCCGAATCTGACCCTCAGAATTGCAACTTCCGGGTAGTTCACTAATTAACGGTGAACTCCCGGACCATTATTGATCTCAACGGATACCTAATCTTATACAATTCAAATTCGTTCATTATCATTATTGCAAATATTGTTTTATTGATTATCATTAAGAATTATTATTTCGTTATTAATCATTAATTAATTTTATTGATTAAATAAATCGTTATTATTTTCTTATTACGAATTTTTGAGTTGTTGTGGGAAATTTAATTTTTCTATCTTGATTAGGTGTCTAAAGTCCATCAGTGAGACAGGGGACTGTATGCGAATTGTTTGACTGTTCTACCCCTGTTCCCACTCTCCCTACCCTCCCCGTACTCTGTGACCACCGGGACCTCTCAAGTACCACATCAGTTCACACTGATGTCAATGGAACAGGGCACCAGGGCACTGCCACGACGCAGTGCCAGGCTTGCAGTTCGTGCCCGCTCTGTGGTACCTCCACGAACCAAGGCTCAGCAACAGCGACTCAGCAAGCGGAAGACTCCAGCGGCATCGAGTACAGCAATGACAGTACCGGTTACCACCGGGGTTCTTCCCGCATGCCGGGTCCAAGGGGCCAGTGAGCCATTGGCGACTTACCTTCAGCGGGTTCAGGCATTCACGGATGCCGTAGCTACCGCAAAGGCACAGCAGGAGGCAGCAGTGGCGGAACGTCAGCGGCTGGCCAGTGAGGCGGCAGCCCAAGCTCAGCGGACTGCTGAGGCCGACGCCGTGGTGCGAGACAAGCGGAACGCCATTAGCATGGAGTCCTTGACTGTGAATGAGAGTCAGTGGACGACATTGCTCCAAGGCATGTTGTTTGTGCCTTCGGATACACAGGCGGATCCGACACCGGCGGAGGAAGAAAGGAGCAACCTGGCTAACCTGATGTTGAATATGATGCGAGCGGTCATGTTGACCAATACGATGCTAATGGTGCAAATACACGAGGGCAGACAGCTGCGACAGATTCAGCAGAATGATTCTGCAGCCTTAACAGCTGCTGTTCGCGCTGCCGCCACACATCAGCAACAACAGCAACAGCTGTTGAGCACCACCACCGCACGCGTCAACAACATCAAGGCTAAGGCCTCAGCAGCGCCAGGCTGCACGACAGACGCGACGAAGCAGCTCAACGAGCGCATCGATCACGTCGTCACTATCATTGGCGAACTAGGTGATTTCACTAGTCCGGCCACGATCAGCAGCATGGTGGCTGCCATCAAGACGGACATCACCAAACTGCAGACAAGACCGGACGCCGCTACCAAGAATTACAAGATGCCGCACTTCGACATCAGCAAGTTCGACGACTATCACAAGACCGACGCCTTGACATGATGGCAAGGTTTCCTCACGGAAGCATCGTGCCGCACTGTCCCGGCTGACGACATGATGAAGGCGCTCTACCTGCAACTGATTGGAGGAGCGCAGGCATGGATGAACCATCTGGCGGCTACCAAGAAATGCACCATCGCCGAACTCCACACGCACATCACGTGGGCGGAGTTCGAGAAGCTATGGTTCACTCGATTCATGGTCCGCAACGTCGTGAAGGCGGCCATGAACGAGGTGTACTCAAGCTCTCAAGGAAGCATGCCAACTCGAGACTGGACAATCAAGTGGCAAAAGATAGTGACCACGCCAGGCTTCGATTTGAGTTTTCCTAACCAACGATCCGAGTTCTTCTCGCGATCGTGCGCAGGACTGCGAACCGCACTCGGCAACGAGTACGATTACGCCTCATTCCAGGCCATCCTGGATCGTGCGAACTTGGTCATCCAAACGGATGACAAGGCCGCAAACGAACGGCAGTCCCAGCCGCATTATGTGGCTAAGCTGGGCTATCAACGACTGACACATAACAATGCCGTGATTTATGAAGAAACCGTTGATCTCCACGCTGCAGCAGCATCCTCGAGTGATGGAGGAATTGTTGCAGCGCTCCCGCCGAAGCGTCCCAAGAGAGTTCGGAAGAACAAGGCGACACAAGAGACGGCATCAACGGGAACTGGGCAGCAGCCATGGACGGCATACAAGATAACCAAGGAAATCTATGACCTTCGTCAAAAGTACGGATATTGCCTTTGGTGCAATGGAGTCACTCACTTGACCGCACAATGCCTCGAAAAGGGCAAGGCACGAGTACCCCGTCCAGCAAACTCGGGAAACTGAGTTACACAAGGAGAGGGGCGACGTCTCTCCTCACTCCGTCGGATCCGGTTGCCTTGCTAGCAATCGATGTCACTACTGGGGAGCATGCGTTAGTCGTTGATCCTCGTGCTACATACGAGGATTATGCTACCCAGCTGGTACCAACACTAGACCAGCCGAGCCACGTGCACTTAGATTGCGTATGCGCAACCTGTACACCGTCGGCAAGTGATCCGGTCAGTTCGCCACTGATTCCCGAGGACTCGACGGCGTGGTCAAGACTTGAGGAGCTTGACCCGCTCACGAGAGAGGACTTCGCTTGGATGCCTCTACCCTCAACCGGAACCTTACCAAGGCCGCATTGCAATGCCTTGATGGCAAATCTACGCTCCTATTTGCACACTACAGTACCAACTCCGTTGACGGACGACGGGGTAGCGGTTGTCGATCTCCGCTCCTATCTTGCGAAGATTGACCGCGAGTACGCCACCCAAAGGTACGCCGAAACCGACGCTCCTTTGCTCTATATCCGCATTCAAATCGAAAAGGCAACCTGTAGTGCCTTGATTGATTGCGGAGCGTCTCGC